GTAGACTGTAAATGGGTATTTCGAGTTAAGAGGAAAGCTGATGGGTCTATTAATCGCTTTAAAGCAAGACTTGTGGCCAAAGGGTACAACCAACGCCCTGGCTTAGATTATAAAGAGACATTTAGTCCGGTTGTAAAGTCGGCAACAATAAGAACTGTCTTGACTATTGCTGATATGCAAGGGTGGATTTTAAGACAACTTGATGTCAACAATGCATTCTTACATGGGATGTTGACTGAAAATGTTTACATGGCTCAACCTTCGGGGTTCAAGGATACATCTAAGCCTAACCATGTCTGCAAGTTACACAAGGCCATCTATGGCCTAAAACAAGCAACAAGAGCCTGGTATTCGGCCCTCAAGAAAACCATTACAGAGCTTGAGTTTATGAATTCTAAAGCAGATTCTTCATTATTTATATACGGAACCAGCTCAGTTACATGTTTTCTACTGGTATATGTGGATGACTTAGTCATAATTGGCAGTGATACTCAATTTGTTGCTTTAGTAATCACAAAACTTGGACACTATTTCTCTTTGAAAGATACGGGACAACTAAATTTTTTCCTGGGGATGGAAGTTATACCTACTAAATCTTGCCTTTTCTTGTCTCAGCATAAATACATTAGAGATATCCTGTCCAAAAGTAATATGCTTGGTGCAAAAGATGCATCCACACCATTATCAACCACTACATCCCTCAAACTCATTGATGGAACCAGCTCTGTTGACAGCACAGAATTTAGGAGTGTTATAGGTGCTCTTCAATATCTATCTCTTACAAGGCCAGACATTTCATTTGCGGTGAATAAACTCTCTCAGTTCATGCATAAACCCACTGCAACTCATTGGACGGCTACGAAGAAGCTCCTTCGTTACTTGAAATAAACAGTTTTTCATGGAATTCACATCAGAAAATTCAGTCCGTCAACTCTTACCACATACAGCAATGCAGATTGGGCAGGGAACTTTGATGATAGAACTTCAACCTCTGCTTATATATGTTTCTTTGGTACAAATCCAATTTCTTGGAGCTCGAAAAAATAAAGGGCAGTTGCTCGATCATCAACCGAGGCCGAGTACAGAGCCCTTGCAAATGCGACCTCTGAAAAACCATTTGGCTCCTTTAGTTATTTCAAGAACTTGGCCACCCTATATCATCCACACCAAAGCTACTTTGTGATAACTTGGGTGCCACATAACTGAGTTTCAATCCAGTCTACCATTCTCGAATGAAGCACATTCAAATTGATCTATACTTTGTGCGCGATATAGTTCAGAAGGAACACTCCAAGTTCATCATGTAAATACACAGGACTAGCTTGCAGATATTCTAACAAAACCACTGTCAAAGCAACGTATGGAACAACTGAGAAACAAGATTGGTCTTGCCGATGGTAGCCCAATCTTGCAGGGGCGTATGAAGGAAGATTCCACTAATCAAGCCAAAAGCAAAAATCAGCCATCACAAATCAAGCCAAGAATCAAAACCAGCAAGATAGCCAATAATCATGACTGTAACAGTCAATCAATTTTCTGTAAATGTTATTTTTGTATAACCATGAAATTAGCCTGCTACTTTTATATATGCAAAATGTTGGCTAATTTCCCAGAATAGAGATCGGAGATTTTGTATTTAAATGTACGCAAGTCATTGTAAAATGTAGGTTGTAAAGTCTGTCATTTTTTACAGAGAAATAAAACACTGCTCTAATTTCCATCAGTTGCTCTTGCTGAATTGCCATCAGAAAATATAATATTACTATTGGATTTTTGATACTCAATAAGTCTAGGCGATATTTTAAAATAGACGTCGGATAATTTATCGATACCATTGACTTGGCTCAACCTGGAAACAACCTACACTTGTGGATGGCCCAAGTTATTGAGTTGGATTTAATTAGTTGAATCATGACATTAGTTAGCCCATTTATTCTTCACTTTTGCCCATTTGTTAGAGGCCCATTTAGAGAGAGATTCGCCTAAAAGTGAGCTAATGTTTGGCTTGTTGGAAATATGGTTTACATACAAGAGGATGGAAAAGAAATGAATAACAAAATGAAGAAACAAAAGGAACAACAAAAGAAATTGAATGAAGGTTCAAATACGTGATCGTTGTCTTCAAACTATATTTGCCCACTTTCAAATTGAACTTGATACTTAAAGGGATTCTTGGCAACTGGTTTGTAGGATTTACCAAACCTTTAAAATGATTAACGCTTGAGCACTTAGTGAAATCCTCCAAAATTTAAGAACATAAAGAAAATTGAACATGATAGAGAAAAAGCTTTGATTATTTTGTGGAATGGAAATTTTGATCATAAGTGGTTTTCAAGTGTTTCTATATGTTTTGCATTAATCATCAATCACCTATTTATAAGCATTAATCAATGTTACATGAAGTAGTGCCAAAACATATGAAAGGCCACTAGAAATTTAAACAAAAATAGTCCTTAACGGCTAATAAAATGTTCTATGCGGTCGCATAGGTATGCGACCGCATAGATCATTAAAGGCCCTGCAAATAGCAATGCGACCACAAGCCCTCCTACGGAATGGAAATTTTGATCACAAGTGCTTTTCAAGTGTTTCTATATGTTTTGCATTGATCATCGATTACCTATTTATAAGCATCAATCAATGTTACATGAAGTGGTGCCAAAACACTTGAAAGGCCACTAGAAATTCAAACAAAAATAGTCCTCAACAGATACCAAAATCGACAAAATATTTTTCACTCGTTTTAAACAGAATATTTGGATGCGAACCACCGTAAACCTCATCCAAAAGAATGTTTGGAAACATGGAAATTTCGATGCATCTCTTAAGAAAATGATGAAAATTGAACATGGATGATTTTAATTTAATTTAGTCAATTTTATCTTTGTAATGTATTGTAATTTTTAATTATAATCTTAATTCCAATTAGAGTTAGTCATTAACTTTAAGTTTTATCATCATCTAGAGTTGGTCTTGATTTGAATGTTTAGTTATTATCTAGATTTTATTTACTACTTTAAATACAAGTTGTAAGCTTTATGGAAATAAGTGAAATTTGAATTGAAATTTGAGATTTCTTCAATTTCTTAAATTCTTTTATTTAATATTTAAAATTATCGAGTTACATTCTCTATGTTCATGTATGAATCAAAGAGTTTGATGCTTAAGTTTCTGATATTCTTGTAAATCAGTTCCGATATTCGTTTGAAATCAACAAAATTTCGATAGCATAAATATTCGTCATTTATTTTATCGCTTCCGCATCTGGCAACACCAATCCATGAGTGATGCAGTGAACTTAATTAGCACATTACTCCTTGGCTGCCTTTTCAATTTATTGCTTATTGTAGTACTTGGTATTTATCCAGTCTTTAATTATTTTGTTAAATCATGAGGTATCTAATCCTCCTGATTTTCTTGAAATTAATCAGATTATTTTGATAAAAATTAATATTATTGAAGTCAAAAGCCATCCAACTGAATTGTGAGGAGTGTCGATTCTGTCCCACTGATATGCATTCGTGGCTCCTCCCTTGTTAGCGAGGCTTCAAATTCTTGGTACAAGATGTACATATATTATAACATCGTAGATTCAATGGATAATATATAATGTTGGCGAGTAAATTTATACATAGATCGACTCAAAAAAATGAACCACTTGGGTTCATGAAAACTTGCAATGAAGGGATGTGATGCTCAAAAGTTTTTTTTTTTTTTTTTCCTTCTAAAATTTCATCAACCAAGCATTTCATCACAATCAGGTTGTAACCCTCATCATAGCAAGTAATAATTTTAGTTAGGTTTTGATGACGAATTGGTACAGATAATTCAATTCCGTCTACAAAACGACCGTAACAAACAAGTTGATCATTTACTCATTCCCGATTTTTCTCCTCACTCAAGAACTAGATTACCATGGTATCAAGATCATATTCTGCAACATCACCAATAAACAAATTATGTCTTACTCTCAATAAATTTGCAATCGACATAAGATCATATTCAAAAATTTGAAAAACTACATTTAATCACGTGCAGAACTCTTAACCAACTTTTACTTGCAATAAAAACAAAAAACAAAAAAAAAAAAAAGACTTCCTTATTTCTATGAATTGAAAATTGAAAGTTAATATTCATTGTTGACAAAGGGTCATTAAGAATCATCGGTTGAGTTCTTGGCAAGCTCAGAGTGTGGAAGCACTACAAAGAAGTATATTGGCATAGGAAAATATGAATATTTTGAGATAAAGTCATCTTATTTTTTCTTAGATATAAGTATTAAAATTGATTTTTAAAATGTCATTTTACCATCTCTAACAATAAATTAAGGCATTAATTGCAGTGAGAAAACTTATGCCATATTCATGCTTGTTGATCTTAAAACTTCTTAGGCACATAATTTAACTGCAAAAATAAATTTTAAAAATTAAATTAAATTAAATAATCATCAGATTTCAGTGGAGACTAGGGACCCAGTGGCCCCCACTTCCCTCCGACTGTTCTAATGGCGTAGGCTGAGTTAAACTTAGCCCTTGTTTGGTACTCATTTTTTTCAAAAAGCATTTTTTCTTTCTTCTTTTCAACCACACATTCTTTATTAAAATAATATTATACGTAAATAAAATTTTTTTTCTTATTTTTCAATCACACACTTCCCATCAAGTTACTATTCTAAAATGCATTTTTACATAAAAATGTCTCTCAAACACATATTTAATGATTTTTACTTACAAATATTGTCGTATGTTATACAGTTTTCTCATCAAACTGCTAAGAACAATAATGTTAAATACGATGGTGAATGTCAATAAAGAAAACAAATTTGCAAAGTGTAGACTAAAATATTGAGCAATTAGTAGTAACTTGAGTAAAATTTAATCCGATTAATACGAGTTAACAGAAAACTAAAATTTGCATTAATTATAGAAATTTTCTTCTGCACTTTGGAGACACAAAGTTTAAGAAATCCTGAAATACTTATAAAGAAATTAAGGACGACATAAAATAAATATATGATCGTTAATCAATAAACAACTTATAGTGACAAACAGGACACGTGTAGCTTCTCACGAGCCATTCCCAAATACAGTTTGAGTGAAAAACATGAGAACATTGTAGCCTTGGGACATTCAATCCTACTTCAAATTCTTCATGGCATAACTTACAAATCCCACCCTCATCTTCGTCCTCATCCTCATCCTCATCCTCGTCACCGTCATACATCTCGTACTCCATTATCGCAATTTCCGATACGATCTCATTGAATCCCTGAGGCAAATACGCATCCAACATATCATCAGCGAACTCCAATGCCGACCAACTTCCACGAAAAATATAAGCAACATACTTCTTTATTGTGATAACTAATGCTTTCTTCTCATCCTTTCTAGCTATCTCGCGTGCATTCTGAATTATGGCATCAGCAACATCTTCTTTAAAGTCCTCAGGTCCATAACTTTCGAGTATTGCCAACAGACCTTGTTTTAAGTCGCCAAAATCGAAACAAATAAATCTTGATACCAATGGTTCTTCCTCTGCCTCAAAAACTTCTTCACCATCGCAATATGCATACAGTCCTATGGTTTGAAAATTGAACGTGATGGGAATATTCATGGTTGATGATGAAGATGGGTCATTATCGACAACAGGTTCTTCATCTATGGATGCATACCAACGCGCAAAGAACTTCATATACTCCATAGTCAAGATTTAGAAAAAGACAAGCAGAAATTATTAATCAAATTATGGGCAACACGATGAATTCCTTGTATACAGAATATGTATAAATAGGTTTTGAAGAGAAATAGGATTTCAGATTTTGAGTTCTTGATGAACTAGGAGTCCTCTTCTATCTAGACGAGAAGAAGTAGAATGGCACAAGAACATAATTAAAAGTTACCTTATTTTATTTTGGTTATAAGAATTAATTTTAATTTTTTTGATAACTTGAGTAGAATTTATTTTAATTAATATGTTCTAACAACATAATTTACTGTTAAATTATTCCTCTTCATATATTATAAACCGAGTTGTCAATTTTTTCACTATAGTTAGAACATTATTTTGCATTCTAAGAGTATAGAATTATATATAATATTAAAAAAATCCATCAAAAAACCTTTTCTGACAAATATTTCAATATTTATAGCATTTTCTAAACAGTTCAAGCGCACGATCTAGGGCGACGAGAATATCAGCCTCTTCAAAACCTACTTTGTTCGGCCCAAAAGCACAGAGCCATCTCCAGAACCCGGTCACCAGACAACCGAGAAAGCGGAAAATGGTTCAGAGGCTCACATACAGGAAACGGCACAGCTATGCCACTAAATCTAACCAACATCGGATCGTCAAAACCCCCGGTAAAAACTCTTTTTAATAGCTGGTGTTATTTATTTATCTATATTGGGTTTTTGAAATATTTTTTGGTTGTCGTTTAATTTTTCTAATAAATTTGTTTCAGTGGTGATTTTATGTGGATCTGCTTAATTGTGATTTTCTGTGTTGAATTAGGAGGGAAGCTAGTGTACCAGAGCACTAAAAAGAGGGCTAGTGGCCCTAAATGCCCTGTTACTGGCAAGAGAATCCAAGGGGTATGGCTTTTTAGTTGCCGTTTGTGTTCAAATGTGATTAGTGAAAATTGAAACGACAGTTTTTCCTGATTACGTTTGGAACTTATGCATTGATTTTGTGCTTAAAAACTCTTTCTCGGAGGGCAATTGATTATTTTATTCTTGTCTACCCAACCACCATTGGCATGTTTAAATTGTATGAAACTCTAATGTCAATCAAGTTATTTGGTAATTTTAGATAGATTGAGCTCCTAATGTAATAACAAATATGAAAGATGGTAAGTTCAGAATGGAAGCAATCTATACTCTTGATCCATAAAAAAATCATCTGCCGACAATATGAAACTTGAAACCCGGGTTGGACGATATTTTTGACAAATCATCTAGCAAATTATTGGATTATATTTTTAGGGATATGAAACCTATTAGAGATCGCCTCAGTTAAGTTACTTGTTTAATTCATGGTGTTAGTTGTTTGCCACTGGTGTGGGTTTGGGTGCTTCTTTCAGAGGTTAACAGTGTGTGCTTGCCCCCCCAGGGGGGGGGGGGGGGGGGGGGAAAACCCAAAAATTTTTTCCATTTTTCCCCCTTTCACGGGGATGAAGACCAATAATTTTTTCCATTTTTCCCCTCTTGACAGGCATTTTTTTTTCTTTTTTTTAATCCTTTTAGGAATCTTTTCTTTATTTCAAAGTAAGGTATAACTGCCATTAAATATAAAATTTACTTTTTTAACCGTTGAGTAGATAGTGTCTGTCCCCTAAGGATCTCAAGTCACAGTGTTAAATAGGTTATTCTTAAGCTCACTTTTGAAGGTTGGGGATCTATATCCACAATCGTGAAAAGGTTTGGAGCCCAGTCCCAATTTTCCTTAAATCAAACTAGAATAGGCACTATTTGATGTGGAAGCAAGAAGTGATCGGTACATGATGTTGCACGGTATTTTATATTTATAATATAAAAGGGCTAGAGCTAACATAACTCCTTAATGGCTTTTAACTTTTGTGCTAAGAACTCAAATATATCTCTTTTTAGTTAACTGAACGTGGCATGGCATTACTTATTTCTTTTAAGATTAAAGTATTTGAATGAGTAGATTCCTGCCTTGTGAATAAAAAACAACCAAAAACATTTTTTCTACTTTCATATTTGCAGATACCTCACTTGAGACCTGCTGAGTACAAGAGGTCTAGATTGTCCAGAAATCGAAGGACTGTGAACCGTGCATATGGTGGAGTGTTGTCTGGTGGTGCTGTAAGGGAAAGGTAGGTTTCATTATTCAGGCGAGTTTTGCCATTTACTCAAATACATTGTATGGATTGTTTCTTCATCTTTTTGGACATTCTTTTTGTTTGGTTTTATAGGATTATTAGAGCTTTCTTGGTGGAAGAGCAAAAAATTGTGAAGAAGGTTTTGAAGATACAGAAGGCCAAGGAAAAGCTGGCTACTAAGAGCTGAGGGCTGAGATAATTTTGTTTCTTTTGGATACGGACTAGTCGAGGAATTAATGAAATTTACTTTCTGATTTTCGAGCTAGATATCTTTATTTTCATGGAATTCTTTGGGATGTGGCTTTTTGTTTTCCGTGTTCTGTCCTGGGAGTTTTGGTTCTCCAGCAATTTTTGACAAATTTGAAATTCAATTTGGATTTGCATTGATACAAGTCTTGAGAGTATTGAATTAAGGAAAATTGCAGTTGCAGTCGCAGTTGCAGTCCCTAACCTTTTTACTTTTTACAGATTTTACTCTAACCTTTACTTTGTACCAATCACTGTTCCAAATCTTTTAAAAAATGGCATCTCTTTCATCTTGAATCAAAGATGAAAGAGATGCGAAATAAGATTTTGTTATGTCACATAAGAAATAAATTATTTGTTTTCACATTTTATGAACTTCATTTTATCGTTGATGGATCCAAAGTAATATTTCAGCAGCATTTTTAGCTATTTTTATCCCTGTGCATAAACTTGTGGGCATCAACAATACCGAGAACAAAGAGCTGAGGAAATTCTCCTGGAGTGATTTGTGCAACTGCAAACAATGCAGCAGTAGTGAGAACAGCAGCAAGTGGCGAAGGCACCCTCCATGCACGAGCATTTACGCAGCTTCAATTAAAGGATCAAAAAACTGCAAATTCCAAGGTGGGGAATTTTCCTCCATGAATTATTTAAAATTGCAAAAAGAATAAGCTCATTCATATTTGTCAAGTTAGAGGAATGGAATGTTACAATCTTATTCGAGCCATTTAATTTTTCTTTCAATTTTGACTTTGCACGTTTGATCGCTTGGAAGGGACAAAAGAAAGATCTAAACATTAATCTAATTTGGAACCAGTATGGAATTGAGCAAAAGGAAATTTAGTCATTAAAACAAAGTAACCATTTTTAGCCTTCTTGATTGGTCATCGAACTGCAGAACGAGGTGCTAGAGCATCCAACTATGCCTAAAAACGAGGTGTTAGAGCATGTTTGGCTATGCTTAAAATGAAGTAAAAGGTCCAAGTAGGCTTGAGTAACTTACCTTTTTCTAAGTAAGAGAAAGGTGGAATTGTATACAAGACTCTAGACATCGTTTTCTAAATCCTGGATGCTTGTGCTTTTAATTCGCAGTTACATGCATCTAACTTGTATTATCTATATAACTAATTAAGATGACGAATTTCAATTTAACTATACGCCACTTGGATGCTTTACACTTTTTCAATTCCTTAAAAATAAACATACGACCTGGATTTATGATTGCATAACCCTCTGAACAGAGTCTCCTCAAGAATAGGTGCTAGGGCACCTGTGATGCCCAGCAAGCAGGCCATGCTACATTTAAAATGTAAAGAATTAGTCACTCTTCTATTCAAAATTACACAATGGTTAAAGAAACTATGTTCGTATATACATATGAAAATTTGAAGCCTTTTGTCAGAATTACCTGATACTTGAAGATCCAATCAATGGAAGCAAGAGGACAATAGCATCAGTCTGAATCGAATTAGGAGATTATTAACACAATAATTAGGAAGACCAAAATGCTGTGCATGTATCAAGAATCGCCGGTGAAATTGAGTAGCATTTTAATGTCATTTCTTTTTTTTTTGATAAGATGGAAAACAAAATAAAAATAAGCACGACAATAAGTTAGGTTACATAAGACGTTAACAACTTGCTCGAAACAGCTATTTCAAATGAATTCAGCCCGAGCAAATGAATTACATTATTCATTTAAGCTAGTTGAATATAAAGAAACTCCATCAAAGCACTTATAATTAACTTTGCCATGTTAAGAGAAGCTAGATGCTGCATAATCCAGGCACTTAAGAAGCAATATTCTCTTATTTTTCTCCTTTTTCTGGGGGTAAATTTTTTACGTTAATAAATAGGCACGAAAAAGCATTAGCAGAAATAGATATTAAATCCTACAGTTTTGCTACTTTAACCAACAAGGTGAGATTCTAGGTGACCGAATTGCCACTTGGCAATTCTGTGTCGGTTGGTGGAAAAACTATTTTTTCACCAACCAATTGTGATTTGTCATTTTGCAATTCAGTCACTCAAGGAGTCATCCTGAATGTTACCATAGCAAAACTCTAAATCCTAACCTCTCGCTGTGGCGTTTCACCATTGACAAAAGATATCACACCATCTACCAGGACAATAGCACCTAGAGCTCCACCTAGACCAATCCCAGCCCCTAACAACCACCCTTTCTGAAGATTGAAAGGTTCCCTCAAATCTGAGACACAAATTGATTATACATGTGATGTCAGATTCTCTCTCGGCTGTTAGATAAGGAAATTAAACAAAGTAAAGGTATATAATGAGGTCCTGGACCAGAAAAGGCCTGAGGAATCATCTATCCATTACCAAACAATAGCTCTTGTAAACTTGATTCAATAATCATGTTCATTACCATATCGATAAATGTCTTTAGGAAGTGGAGAGAATGACTGTGTGATAGATAAAACTCTAAGCGTCACTGCAGTTGCAATGCTACAAGACAATTGTAAAACGTGCTTACATGCTTATAATCGAGTTTCAAGTAGTAATACTTACTTGAAATCACAAAATCGAGGTTGAATTATTTTGCCTTCAAATCTCCAAAATCTGTATTTTCTTGTACTCCAATGGTCCAAATCTCGATCATAATGGAAGGGAATTATTATCCACAATCTAAGTGTCATTTCTTGTGAGACTTCATGCCAAAAATGTGGTTCTAGGGGCTTTTCAATTTTGGTGTAAATTTACCTACGAATTTTCACCACATTTTTCATACCACCTTGTTTCTTTTTCCACAACTTCTATCTAGAAGTTTCAAGTGGTTATTTGGGAGTTATATGTTTGAATTCTAAATTCAAACCACTCCCTCCAACCCTTATAAAATTCTGCTGGTTGGGTCACCCCACATTGGCGATCCATTATACGTATTTTTCAACATCTCCCATTCGCACATGATGGGGTTAATTCGAACAACAAGTGACAACAAATGTCACACCTTATATCTTTCTTAAGATCTATCTCACAAAGATTCATACGGCAAATAGATCGTGCGACCAACGAGTAATATTAGAGCTCACGATACTATAAACCTATTAGGGATATATAGTAGCTCTACTAGAGGAGGAAGATCACATCTCGCTATACCCCAAACTCATTTTCGAACATTAATTCAAGTATTTCCGATCCCTCGAGTATTTGTGGAACATACTTGAACCTCGCATTATATCATTGTATTCACAATCGCATTTTATACCCAAAAAGATAAACACAATTGTTCGGCCGGTGAATACAAATATAAATGTTGGTCAAAATAGTTTTCTTTCCTACTTGAATCCTTCGATTTTAAATCAACTGCTTTCCTAGAATGTCCCATCAAACCGAATCAATCATAGTCATTGGCAATATACTAAACTAGCAACACTGAAATAAAACCTCAAGAAACAATCAAAAGCCATAAATGTATATATGAGGTTACATAAACCTCAAGGTCTCACACAATGAGGAAGTAGGGATCCATTCACTCATTTACCCAATATTGGTCGTAAAAGTACACACGGTATGAAACATATGCTACGATATTTTCTCCCTTTCTTAGGGCGTATGTCTAATCTTGCAAATTAAATACATCGTACAAATCATAGTTCAGATATTCCTCGATATCTAACTTGAGTTCTCCTTATATTCATTCTTCCAAGCATTCTCAAATCGAGAACTCGATTCGGCTACTATATGGGTTTAATGGATTACAAAATCAATTTCGATTACTTGTTGTAATCTCATCTTAATACCTTATCAAGGCAATTGGATCATGTACACAACACAATCACTATCAAGACGACAGGATCTGTACACAATATGATCACTTTTTCTCATCTCAGCATATCTCAAAATGTCTGAGGCGATTGCTCGTGTGAGTGATCAAATCTCAACCTGTTCGACATACTTTATACATGCATACAAATCATTTATCTCATAATCTCAACATTAGATTACACATGAACTCAAAATTATTCATCTATGGGCACATAAAACTCAATTAAGAGTTTGTATGATACACTAAGTATCATATTCTACGAAATTCTAGAGATTCTATATTATCAACAAATATATTTCTAGACATCTTCAAAGTATGATGATTACATATCATCATTTACGTAGATATATCATAAAGACATTTTCTTTGCTAATGTCTCTCACAGAATTACCATTAATTGTTTGGTTTTATCTTGATACTTGAGATCTTAACATATAAGATAGTTGCGTAACTATCATGGATCTCATATTCCCAACCAGTATCATTAGATGCTCAATACATCCATACCAAATAATTTGTTTAGCTGCCAAGATATACATTACAATATATGCTTCTTGCTATTCTATATAGCAAAAGCGCACAAGTCAAAAAATTAATTATGCTCGACTAACTCTCATTCTTAGTCAACAATTATATATCTATTCCAATCACAAGTTATTCGTTTGACAACGAAATAGAATAACTGACAGCAGCACCCTTCAAGTATCACAATACTTTTTCTAAAGATAATATTGATACCTACTGATTAGATCTATGGCATAACCTATGTTAGGGCAAGTATACATCATAGTATACTTCTATCTCCTAACTCTTAATCCTACTAGATATAGTTCTCTGGATATTTCTTTGTGTATTTATATAGTTTTTGGACATTTATGAAGACTTATATGGTCACAATTGCAATTCCACATGAGTATTTATAGTATAAAACTCTTATGATAGAACAAGAACATAGGAAAAGTATTCTTAGCACAAATCATACAATTTTCTAAACTCATGTCTTTTGTCTCAAAAATTGACGACAGTCATTTCAAAATGGTCTCTACACACTCCTTATCATGCTGAGCCAATCTAATGTCATCAATATCAATATTAGAATTACAACCTACCATCGGACCTTTTATACAAATACAGCAATTTTCATCCATATGACAAGATTTAACCCTATTAAAAATTCAAGTACGACTGTCGAGATGACTGTATTTGGCAATGCGCGAAAAAACTGTAAAGTTACCACTATACAAAAAAAGCCTTTAACATGAAATCTAAAAGTCGATTCATGTTGATATCTTTAATTATTTCTCAATTGAAAATAAAAATACAGTCTCTAGGTCGATTTGGTGTAACTCTAAATTTAAA